TTGCCATGGTTGGCCTGGGCAGGTTCGCAATCCATTCGCCGAGCTGCGTTGTTTTCAGGGGCAATTTGGGCCGCACATCTCACGTGACACAAGGCAGAAATTTCAAGCACATTGGGTCCCCACCGGTCATCTGAGACTAAGACTGAATAAAACAAACAGTATTGCTTTAAGGGGCACACCAACCAGCAGCTTCCGGAGCCGACACGTGTGCCACTGGCGCACGCGGTTCCCTGAAAGTGGCCTTCATCGTCAGAATCGTCTCTGCTGTATCGGCCGGATGCACGAGCATCGGCGACCACAACGGCCTTCTGCGAGGCTTTTGCCTGGACACAGGAGGAACGAACCAACATAGGAGTGCCCGAAAATGTATCCACAGGAAGTATATACATGAAAATTCGTTTATGCCGTTATATGCCATTAAATATGTAATAAAACAATATCAAATATAAGACAAACAAACCAGAACACGAGCCTGACCACTCGAGCCCGAAAATCCCGGTAGAATTTCAACCGATTGCATGGTCAAGCGCTGCAACATCTTCACCGCTCCATGATCTCAATAGCTTCTTCCTCAGAGCCCAAAGGGAGCCCAAGGTGGCGTGTGGCACGCAGCCATCGGCACGTGGCACGAGCGAAGCCACGAGAACAATCCATGGTCACTCACTTAGAAGTTAGAAGTCTTAGAATCCATGGTCACTTAGAAGTGCTGGTCACGAGAACAATCCATGGTCACTTAGAATAATCCATGTGTTTTGCCTGACATCACTTAGAAGTCACTCACTCCATGGTCCATGGTGTCAGAGAAGTCAGCCACGGTCATGGATGAAGACACATGACAAAACTCTGGTGATCCCTACCAAAATTGAATTTCCCAATTCACTACTTACCAACTGTAGAGGCTCCTGCAGATTTTTTGGGGTGAGAAACATTGCCACCCACTGCTTCAAAACTAGCTGAATCTGGTTGAATCTTCAGTCTTCCCTTCGAGTCCTGCGGGAAGCAAGCAGCCAAGCCACCAGAGTTGAGCTTCCGGAGCCTCTGGACGCTACGCCGGCTCGACCCCGGCCACACAATCGAGAGCAGTGCCAGCTGAGACCGAGAAGTGTGTCGCTCAGAAAGACCACGGCAGCAAGCGCAAGCAATGAGGTGCCACACAATCCGGAAGTGAGGGCAAACCACATCCTGAACAAAGGATCTAAAGCACACGGTGATTTCCCACAGACCTACAATATACGTACAGAATCCGGATTCCGTGCTTTTCTATTTGAAGACCCCCGACACACGGAGGCTTGGGAAGCAAGATGTATCTAAGCTGAAATACATGCTGACATGTTCAAAGATGCTCTGCTCTAGCTGTAAATCATTGTATAATCTATAATCCCTTTGTTCCTCACAATGATTCACATACTTCTTGCAGCCAGGCCTCTGAAAGATCAGCAGCATGCTAACACTGGCCTGCATGTACTTCCGAGACATGCTGGCAGTCTCTCCTGCTTCCAAGCTTGGGACGGTCGCCCGGAACTCCCTGGGCCCAAGATGGAACAGAAGTAGGTTGGTGGCCGCCGCCATGGCCGCCGCCGGCAGCAAGAGCCTCGTTGTGGCGGACCAACTTCGGAAGCACCGGCTTCGGAAGCGGCCACATGGATGAGCATGAGGCCAGCAGTGGCCCATGATTGAGGTGGACAAAGAATCTTCAGCCAAAGGAAGTTGTGATATCGTATACGGCATTATACGGCTAAGCATTCTCAAAGTGTTTGAGAAAAACATTAAACTTAAACACGTGTAATCATCAGCGAATGTCGACATGTCCCTTCGGGCACGCTTTTTCTGTCATCGGCCGGGCAGCCGTACATGCGACCGGACATGGAGACTTCGAACGAACCCAGAACTGCTTCATGGGAGTACGCAGAGCGACCGAGATCAACATCGCTCGTGCACCCACATCCAATGGTGTTGGATGGTTTTGGTACAGTTCGACTCTTCGCAGGCGCGGCTCGACCTCGCGATGACTCATCGCCAGACGGTTTGCGGATCCTTTCGGCCGGCCCCGTCGACTGCGACCGGAGCAACGGCACCAGTGGACTCCAGATGATCGCCACTTCGGCCAAGGTCACCAGCAAGGTCGCTTGCTGTGCACGATCCAAGCTCCGACTGGTGCGAATCTGGCATTTGATGCCTGCGATGATGGTGGACGATGCGGGCTGGGTCCTGGGTGGGGCGGTGACCTTTTGCAGATGAGTGGGGCATGGATTTTCTTTGCCGTGAGTTTGGGATTCTATCAATCTAAAATCCCATAAATTCCAAACTTCAAAACCAATGAACGTATTCAATACGTTCCAAGCTCTCGAGTTCACTGAAGCAACGAACTGACTCAGGGGGACCTGATATGCCCTTGACGCCGGGCCCAGGCTTGGGAGAGGGCGACAAACAGCGCCGTGATGCATGTCTCCTTCTTTTTCCCCGATATGGCGCCATTGCCCAGTTTGCTTCAAATCATGACTTCTATCATCTCTATCTACTCAAAGCGGGACGCACCATTTACGAGTGTTTTTGGATGATGACTCAAACATCAGTCTCTTGCAAACCATCAGTTGCCGGAACGAAGAACAATCCCGAATGGGAACCGCCAACCCACAGCGGTGCCTAGGAACGCCAACGGACAAATGTGAAGCTGGCCATCGATCTGCGCCGAGCGTTTCCAGAGCCACAGGACCAAGACCTCCGTCCCACCAGACATATCGGTGGTGGATGCGGTGGTACTCTCCGGGTGTTTGTTTGGAGACATATGATCATGGAAAATGGTTCCCACTTGTGGCAAATCCACGGATGTAGATGATGTATGGATGGATGTACCTATGCATGTACCTATGGATGTGTCGCTTCAATCATCCTGGGACAGTGATAACGGAGCTCCCAGAATGAGGTCCAGCATGAGAAAGAACACAAAACATACGAGGTTGACTTACTGTCGACACCGTGTCACACCTCTTCACTAGCAAGTGTGCTCGAATCTGTGTGTGTGTGT